ACACAAATTTTGTGACTGTGTTGTAGATGGTTTATTTGTCGAAAGGAAGATAAGAATGTGAGATGCTTAACAATGGCCAAGGTTTTTGAGGATTTGTGCTACAAAGTGTCTAATGTTTCTCTGTTAATGGCTTTCCCAGCACATTTGGCAAGCTAATATTCCAAAGACAACTGCAATAATTCTAAGGGCTTTGGTATATTCAGGTCCTTGGTGTTAGATCATTCAGTATTTGACTTCTTGTGTAAGCTCCATTTTCGACACTGTGGCCACATTAAAAAGGACCAGTCACAACAAGGGTAGGAATTGAGAGGGTTTGGTCTTAAACTTGAGTGCCTGGTCTGCCTAGGGATAATGTACTAATGAAAGATCAAGGTAGAGAAATATTGACCCTTTTACAACAAATAATTCCCCAAAATACAGGAGAGTGATTATCAGAAAGTGTAACCCATTTTCAAGCATAGAAAGATACAACAAGTCTGCTCCAGTAGGTCGGCAAAGAGTAATAATTAGCTCTAAATGTAAGAAAAATGTGAGCTTTTGGTTACTGACTTGGCAACCTTGTAGACAGAAGTAAAAAAATGGCAACTATCTGTTCCTTTGTATGTCAAAAGAAAGGCACTTTCACAAATCTCCCAGTAGGAAGACTTTTCTATGCTGGGAATATAGAAAAGACAAGGAGTCAACTCTTTTCTGTTGTTGTTCCACCCAGCATTTCAATATCTAATTTAGAGGATTTAGGGCTTCAGGGATTCTGGGGATTATTTTCTGGGGCTAATGATGAATTTTTCATATTTTTACACAGCTATCCTTAAACAACCAATGTTGGGCATTACATTCACTCATGCTACAACTCTGTTTGGAGTGGCATTACAAAATTATAATTGGACGCTATCAGAGAGGATGAGTCATAATTCCAACAGTCATGACTGCAACAGAACCTAATTTGGGCCACAAGCAAGCACTTGATTAGAATAATCTTCATCATTTTATTAAAACCCAAGGAATGCAAAATAGACTTTATTCATCGTAAGGAAGATTTTCCTTCCTATGTCTTTTAAACAATTCAGTAGACTTGCTTAGGTAAATTTCCACACTCACAGTAATTTGGGGATTAATTAGGTAGTACTTACAAAATCCACTGAAAATGGAAATCACTTCTGCATATAAATGATATGTATTAGTGTAACACAGTCTTAAATCCTAAAGACGACACATTTCAGCACAAAATTAAGCATGGCTAATCATAATTGCATTAAGACAGTCAATGAATTCCACAACTCCGTATTTCACTAAAAGGACTAATCAGATTTACTTCACATTCTTAAACAAATACTACATGTAGGACTCTTTATTTGGTTATCCAACTAACTGCCAATATGTTTGATAAACATAATAAATTCCTAAAGATATGAGTAGTTAAAAAGTGCCCAAAATGTAAAATATTACTTTTATAATTACAAAACCACATTTGACTCATTCACTTAAGAAAAAAAAAATCTTAACCTTCTTCCATATTGAAATATTAACCATGAATTAACATTTTAAAAGAATTCATAAGATTATTTTCTCAAACAAAGCTACAGAATAGTTTTTGCCTTCACTGAATTCTCTGATGATTCACTGTTATTCCTTTTTTAAGTACACAGTAAAGGATTACTAAAAAGGTATTTAAGCTATAAACAAGCAACCAAAAAAAGCTTAATTTTTTTTTTTAAACCTAACAAACTCTCTGATTTTTCTTGCTACACTGAAGAATATCTGGCCAGATGTTTCCACACACGGTTGGTTGCAGTATTTTACTCGGAGGCTGGCATATCTGATGTTATTTCTCCTCAGAGTACTGTGATGTCATTGACCAAAATACGGCACATAACCACATGAGGTAACAGGAAGACTTGTATGAAGTATATTCATGACATGGTTCCCTGCTATTAAAGAATGTCTTTATATAACTTGAATATAAACAGTCTATAAAAAATAATATGTTAAATACAAATATTGCTTAGAATCACAGTATTCAAATAAATCCCTAATCTTTTGTGCCAAATCACAGAAACTGATAAACATAAGTCTTCTTTTCCAGGTGGCATATCATATCTTCCCAGCTGCTGTTAACTGGTAAAATAATTTTCAAAAATCAATATGGCACATGAGTATATTCCTTTACCCAACTATACATATAGAAATTATTCCTTAAAAGGGACAATATCATCCACGCAAAACTCTTCTTTAGCTCACACAAAGGCATAAAAATGGTGAAAAATTATATCTAGAAAACATACAGAACTTTCATTCAATATTATAAAATTGTTGCATTTCACAATTTCTTTACATTTCCAGAAATAAAAAGGAGGAAACATAGGTACAGCAATTACCAATAGCTCACTGAGTTTTTCAAAATATAAGTTCACACAGCAACAGACAGATATTTTATACACATCTAGCACAAAACAGAAATGAAAAATGCTGATACGCAACATGTTCAGTGGCCCACCCAAAGTGGGACAGTCTGAAGAAAATTCCCATTTGAGAACTTCTATTGCAAAGTGGTCTCCAAAGAAGTAAGGGAAAAGAAATGCAATAATTGTCCTCCAGAACTGAAATGAGGGAGGTATGGAGAAATGGGACATCACCAGTGGCCATGCTTAACTTTTTTCAGGAGTGGAAACTTTTGAAATTTTTTTCTGGATAGGTTCCCTTTAGATGAAATTAGTATAAGTTGTACTGATGGAGACAGACATATCTCTAACAGAAATTTCAATACTAGCTACAACACCACTAACATTTATTAGCAATTATTAAAAGGCTTTCTTATTATGAGTTGTTGCAAACATGTACGATGACTAGAAACACTTCATACTTTTCTGCAGCCTACGACATGGGCTGCCTTCAAGCAGAGGGTCCTAAAAGCATCATCAGGTCCCCTACAGAGCGATGCTCTCCCAGACTTGGAACTTGGTAGGCCTGTCTTACATGTGAGGACCAGAGTCTACAAGCACCATATAACCTAATTAGAAAAAAAAAAAAAAAAAAGTTTTGCATAACATTAAGATCCCAAATTTTGCAGCAGACTTGTAATCTGGCACAGATAGCTCTCCCGGAGCTGCAGATCCTGACAGCACCAGAAAGAAACACACATTGCAAGTAAGTTTTGGGTATTTGCTGAAAACAAACCAAACAACATGCCTACCCTTCCCAAGAAAGTATTGCAGGCTTCTTGACCAGCAGGTCCTAGACTCAAGCTTTCAGCTTATTACTTGAATCACAAGACCCAACCTCAATCCTGCCCTTTTTACCTTGCCAGTTCCATTTCAACCCTAACTAATGTTGCGGAATTTTTATCATACCCCTTGAGGCAAATTAAACATGTTTGTCCTTCAACATAAAAAGATTTAATGAACAATGGATTGGCCAGTCCTACCTTCATAAGCAGCTCTACAAGGAGTTTGCAAAGATGTAACATGAGACAATTCCTTATATACACCTGCACCAGCACTGATCATGTGAGCATCGGCATGGGGCACCTTAGCCCAGTGTTCAGTTCATCCCCCAAAGTCAGCTCTGTTTACCAAAACTGGCCCCTGAGCACTCACATTCCAGGATGGATTGCTAGAAGACAATGCTGTGACTTTTCTTATCTCATTACCAAGGGAAACCTCACTCCCTTACATGGAGTCCTTCTGTCTCTGGCATTCTTTTTTTAGCAAGTTTAAATCAGTCTGCAGTTGGGCCTTCTTGTCCTCCATACCAGATCATTCCTTGGTCATGAATTACTGTTGCTGAACAGTTACAATTTGAATTTCCCCTTCACTAACTACATTATCAGATTTGTGTTTCCAGCTCACAGTTGCCTACCAGGTCTCATGTCTCCCTTCTCATTCTCAAAAACAGCCTTCTTTTCCATTTCCCATTATCAGTTTTTTTTCCCTGTCAGATCTTTTTTACCTCTTTAAGTCTAATTAGAATTCTTAGCTTTATCTACTCCTTCTCCTAACTTGATTCAGTTTTTGTCCTCTGTGCATTTCTTACTATAAAGTTTCTATAACAGTACAAAAGACACAGATTTATCCTCCATGGTAACGGAGGATAAACATCCAATTCTTTCACCTTACCAGCTGAGAGGAACTAGGAACAACATGAGAGAAGAATTACAAATTCAGCCTTATTTCATCCTTAACTCCTTCTACTAGAATCATAGAATCGTCAAGGTTGGAAAAGACCCTTAAGATCATCGAGTCCAACCGTTAACCTAACACTGCCAAGTCCATCTATACCATGTCTTCAAGCACCGTATCTATCCGTTCTTTAAATACCTCCAGGGATGGAGACTCAATCACTTCCCTGGGCAGCCTGTTCCAGGGCCTGACTACCCTTTTGGTGAAGAAGTTTTTCATAATATCCAACCTAAACCTCCCCTGGTGCAGCTTGAGGCCGTTTCCTCTCGTCCTCTCTCTTGTTACTAGGGAGAAGAGACTGACCCCCACCTCACTACAGCCTCCTTCCAGGTAGTTGCAGAGAGCAATAAGGTCTCCCCTCAGCCACCCCTTCTCTAGACTAAACAACCCCGGTTCCCTCAGCCGCTCCTCTTACTGCTGCGTAGGTAAAAACCTGCTGAATTGCTCTGTGAGGCTGCTTTCCTGCAAGTGCAGTATGTTGAGACTGAGGAGGTCCAAATTGTGGATATGTGACAAATAATCAAACCCGAAGTTTACCACAATTGACTGAGCATTTTTGTTTTGTTCTCGTTTTGAATTTCATTACTGAAAATGGCTAACCTACTTTATCTGAAGTTTCCCGAAATACAGAGTGATAAAACATATCATGCAAAATTTCAGGCCAAACAGTCCGAATTAGAAGCAACAGAAAAGACATTCTTAAAGTGGAAGGGGTTGAGCAACCAGAACAAGCAGTACTAAAGACGACTGCCTGTAGTCCATACTTATTATATACTATTACAATCATATTATTTGGAAATTGTGTTATCTTGGCAACTCATTTACCTTGAATTCTTCAACAATAATACTCAAGGCTTCATGTCCAGCTTTTCTCATGTCTTCTAACTCCTGCTTATGCTTTTCCTGTACAAAAACATGGAAAGATTATATACAACATAGGCACCCGACATATAATTAAGAGAGTAAAGACTAATTATTTTCGTCATTATTGGTATCTTTCATGAAGAAATGCACACATCTTGGCTCTTTAGATATTATATGTATGCTCAATTCAAGTTGGTCCTAGTATTAAACTTATTTTTCTTTATATTTCTTAATTTTACTTTGTTAGTCCCCAGATAATTCTAAATGGCTCTCCAAATTTTTTAAAGATTTCCTTTGTTACTTTGATTTTTCTGGTTTCTTGGTATACCTGTGGATGACAGGACTCTCTTAGCAAGTGTTATTTACTGCCTATATTAACAAAAATGATGAAATGTACTAGTATCAGATTCAGCTGCCTCAGAAGAGCCCACCCTTCTCCTACTCATTACATAGCTCCTTTTTTACCTTTTTTTTTATTCTTAAGGTTCCCAGGAAAGTGTTCTTGCATAAGACATCCCGAATATGTTTTTCAAATAAAGCTCTATTGTTTACTTTTTATTTTATTCACGGTCCTATGTAAAAATAATGTGGACAAGAACATTCAGTTCAACAAAGGCAAGTGTAGGGTCCCGCACCTAGGGAGGAACAACCCCATGCACCAGTACAGGCTAGGGGTTGACCTGCTGGAAAGCAGCTCTGCGGAGAAGGACCTGGGAGTCCTGGTGAACAAGTTAACCATGAGCCAGCAATGTGCCACATCTGGAGTATTTTGTCCAGTTCTGAGCTCCCGAGTTCAAGAAAGAAAAGGAACTGCTGGAGAGAGACTCCAACGCAGGGCTATGAAGATGATTAGGGGACTGAAGCATCTCTCTTATGAGTAAAGGCTGAGAGAGCTGGGTCTGTTTAGCCTGGAGGAGACTGAGAGGGGATCTTATAGACGCTTACAAATACCTTAAGGGCAGGTGTCGGGAGGATGGGGCCAGACTCTTTTCAGTGGTGCCCAGCAACAGGATAAGGGGCAGTGGGCACAAACTGAAACACAGGACGTTCCATCTGAACATGAGGAAAAACTTCTTTACTTTACTCTGGGTAGCACTGGAACAGGCTGCCCAGAGAGGTTGTAGAGCCTGCTTCTCTGGAGATATTCAAAACCCGCCTGGACGTGATTCTGTGCAACCTGCTCTAGGTGAACCTGCTTTAGCGGGGGCGTTGGACTAGATGATCTCCAGAGGTCCCTTCCAACCCCAACCATTCTGTGATTTTGTGATTTTAATATTTTTGCCTTTACATAAAAAGCTAGCCTGTGTTTTGCTATCTGAGTCTGCAATGTGAACACCTCATTAGCTTCTCATCAGCAATTCACACTTATCAATGAGCAGCACCACTTTTTCAAAGCACCAGTTAGTAAGGAGATGAAAACCATTCCCTTCTCCCTCATTCTTTGCTTCAGGGATCTGTTCTTAAATCAGCTAGTACAGCAGATCAGAGGTGCTTTAAATCACCTTGGAAAACTGGTGCAGAAAGCAGAAAAACATTCATCACAAACCTTACCTTGCAGTGATTACAGGGCAAAACCATACACAATTTAGATTACATATTTATTGCTTTTTGGATGGAATTCAAGTTGAAATTAATTAATACAATTCTATGTTTTCTAAGATCTGTATGTTTGAAATAAGCAAAACCTGGTGTCTAACAAAGCATGCTCAATTTTATTATGAGAGGCCATATAACACCGTTAAAAATAAATTAATTGGTCTGTACCTCTATATTTGATTAGTTTCTGCTCTGCCATTCCGTTCCTTTCTCCTGAAAGGGCCATCTTAGCAAAAAGTTTGAAATTATAGCTATAAAAACTTCCTTATTGTTGGCCCAAATATAATGAGATCTTCAGATTCTCTTTAATAGACCTGGGTTTTTTTTGTGAAGCCCTACCAGAACAACTGATATGAAGCAGAAAAATTGAATATAAAATATTTTGAAGTGTAAATAAACTACTACATTGGGTAACAATGCACATCACTGCTGATGGTACATCAGTTTAACTGATGGGTACATCAGTTTAATCACATTGTGATGCATTGTGATGACACCTGTTGTCAGGTGTCACTGACAACACAAACTAGCTAAACTCAGATGTTATATATGTAAAAAAAAAAGTCCTGAGCTAGAAATATTTTTACAGTACAAAACTACAGAATTGGTATAAGGGGGAAAATTGTGATCCAGTACTTAACTCCAAAACTTCACAAATCATTAACAAATAAGTTCCCCATGAAAAGTGAACATGGGGGAAAAAAATGAGAAAAATGTAATTACTATAGTAGCATATCCTGGATTCACAAATATGAAGAAAGAATTATATGGAAAGAGGAAGTTAATGGTCATTAATTATTCTAGCTGAAAAACAAACAAACAAACAAAACAAAACAAAACAACAAAACCAAAACTGAAGAGAAAGCATTCCGTGTTGAGGAAAGCCTTTAAATGAGAAGAGTAAAAACAGTAAGATTACCATCTAAGATCTGTCAGAACTACCTTGAATGCAACAATGAGACATAGCGAATCAAGTGTGTTGACTGAGGAAGTAACATATTTTATTCTGGTAAAAAGCACAGTGCCTCTCACTAGCATTATCAGGCAAATCAAGACACAAAGCAAAATATGCAATTTGTCTTCTTACAATAAATCTCTCAAGTTTTTTCAGAATTAGTGATTTGTTCAAAGTCATATACTAAATGCGAACTGATAACACAAGTTGAAGCATCAACACCAAGGTATAACTACCAATATGAAGATTCCATCCAACACATTTTAGAGTACTTGCTTTCTTAAAATATTTCCTAAAGTAAAGGAAAACAGTCATTAGGAAAGAACTAATAGCAAGGCATCAGTTTTGCTTGGGTCAGGACTAGCAATCAGTTTCCACAAAAGAGGTAGAAGAAAGAATGGAAGGGCATTATTACAAGCACACAGACAAAAAGTTTAAGGTCACATTGCAATGCTCCCTCCAAGTAAGGAGGTCCAGTCTGATGAACACTACATTGCCTTTTTTCTGTGTCTATTTGCAAGACTTTCCAGCTAAGACAGCAGGCCTGTAAGTTTATTTCTTTGAACTTGTAAGGGTGAATTTCAATTCTTTTGAGGATGGCTGGCCTTTTCTTCTGAAAGTCTGTAAAATACTGTTGCAAAATCTTATAGATACATCACTCAAGGCAATGTGTGCTTGGTCCCTGTAATATCCAATAAGGAGAAGACCCAAAGTCACTTTAAGTAACACATTTTGGAAGTGTATGCATTGATTTACTGTCTAACAATGAAGACACATCAAAGTTCCTGAGTTTCATGATTTGGCTATGAACACAACAGAAACATTCCAAGAACAGCAGCATGTTCTTTTGATGAACAATGGTCATGTCAGTTCTTCAGAAATCCTCAATAAAATGTGTACTTCCCATAGGAAAATGAGTTTAATGAATTGACATAACTACTCTTGGAATTATTACTCTGCTTGTAAGAAAGAAAAGGGAAGCTCTATGAAAAGTTCTGAATGGTGTAGACCTGAAATTAAAATGTAATGTCCAAATTTCCTATCAAAGAGAGAAGAGTTTTGTGTTTTCTGGATCTTGTAGAATTCTCCTGCATAGTTTGCATGTCTTCGGAGAGGTTTTTAAAGAACGTGGTTGTTTCCTTCCTTTATTTCATAAATACTTTTAAGAAAGGAATCAAACATGAGTTGAAAAGTTTGAAATTTAAGTAAATCACGTTCAAAGGACTTTCACTCCCTCCCCTTGTGCCTCGTGATGGACAGAATTTCACATCAGAATGCTGACAGTAATTAAACTTGGAAGACAGAGGGGTTTATTTTATTTTGCCATCAAAATCTTTATGATCATTCCAGAGAGCCTGAGGCATTCTGTGTGGACAAAGTATGAAAGTAACAGGCAATTCATTGCTTGGTGGTTATCAATGTTTCAATTTTTTCCATTTTGTGATTCCTATATGAAGAAACGTCATTACGAACAATTTGTGCATAAGAATACATGCTTTAATGCTACCAAATGTATGTGCCTTCAGAAATATATCAAATAAAACTTGAATGATAAGGATGAGAAAATGGGATTGAACTTTGAAAGTTCTCTTAGAATCTAAAATCCAAGTGACTTCAGACTCTCTTTTTCTTTTCTTAGGCCCTTGTGAATCAAACCACTGTGGAGGCAGATGGATCCAAATGCCTGGTGACCTTCCAAGAGATGCAGTTCCCAAGGACGCTGCTGGGCAGAGAAGCCTTCTGAAGCAGCTGTGACAGCAGGAAAGGTTACTGACCACCCACCATCCAGCTCATTGTCACTGCCTGCCAATTGAATTAGCACTTCTTTTAGATCTTTTAGCTGAATTGTTTCCTAAATCATTTCAGTCTAAGTGAAACATTGTTAGCATAAACAGTTTAAACAGGGTTCTTTATTAACATCCAACACTTCAACAGAAATGCAGGGCATGGGTTTGCACATACTGGGAAGTGTAAGTGTAACACCTTTCAACAGAGTATTATGCAAGATCCACAATAAGAGGATTTGTGAGATCTGATGGGAGAAGAAGAGAGAGTAAAGACCTCAAACTTATTTTATTTCATTATATTTACTTACCTTTAAGTTGATATATTTTTCTGCTAATATTTTAAGAGGCAGACTGTCTTGAATTATTGGGGAAAAGTGCATGCCACTCACAGACTCTGCACAGATTCCCTACTAACCTTCCACTCTGGCATGCCTGCATGACACACATATTGTAACAGCAAGAAATGAAAGCATACACAAGAAAGGAAGAAAAAAGTACTCGCTGTCTCACTTTCTTCTCATCTAATTCAAAGCAACTGCAATTCTTCTCATTATCAAAAGTGGATGCTTAGAAAAATTATTTTGTGTGAGTGCTCCTAACACATATGAAAAACAGCATCAGAAAAAGACTTGATACTGCAAATTAGGGCCACCAAACACAGCCACCTGAAAAGGAAGCAAATGGCTACATATCAAAGTACC